GGCCCCCCCCCCCCCGTGCCCCCCCAGCCGTTGGGGCTCAGAGCCCGGCAGTGTGCCTGTGGCAGTGGGCCGGGGCTGGGGGGCAGCCCGACGCAGCTCAGCCCGCCCTGTCCCCAGCGTGATGTGTGTGGCCTTCAAGTTCCCAAGTGTGGAGGTTGAAGAAGAAGAGAAAGACAAGAACAACCCAGCACCTGATAACGTCCCCCGTGGGGCCATCGGCGGAGAATTTGCCCCTGCACGAGTTCGGGGTACTGCAGGTAGGGTGCCCGGGGACCAAGGGGGTGAAGGGGTGATCACTGGGCTGCTCATGGTGGAGTGTCCTGTCATGTGTCGGTGCTTGACCCAAACCCTCCTCCCTCCATCTCTGGGCAGGGCCCAGCTGGGGCTGTGGAAAGCTTTCCTAGCAGCTTTTTTTAGTTGGGAACCTTAACTGCTAAGCCTGTGCCCTCCGAGCAGCCAGCCTGCCTCTTTGATGATGGGGTGGGATGTCCTTTCCCCCTCTAAGAGTTCTCCTGCCTGCAGGCTCCCAACCACAAGGGCCGGGACCAGATCCAAACTCGGCTGACCCCAGAGAGGCAGTGGTGGAGACGGCGGTGGGAACTGACCCTGCGGAGGTGAGCTCGGGGCTCTCCTGTGGCCGCGCAGTCCCCGTCACCCCACATCGGTCCCCTAGGCCGGGGCAGTGATGGAGCCGGGGGATTGCAATGCTGTGCTGCTCTGCTTGCAGGTCCCCGCGGAGCCGGGTGCTGCCGCAGCCCCGGTCCCCACCGCAGTGCTGAGGGCCCGCAGCGAGACCGTGGTGTGTGGCATCTGCATGGACCGCGTGTATGAGAAGCTGCTGCCAGAGGAGCGGCTCTTTGGGATCCTCCCAAACTGCAGCCATGCATACTGCGTGGGCTGCATCCGCAAGTGGCGTCGCAGCCGGGACTTCCAGAGCGTGGTCATCAAGTGAGTGGGGATGGGGACACAGCAGGGTCATCACCGGCACCCCTTCTGCACCCCAAAATCCTTCCTTGGGTCTGGCGATGTGGCTTTGGGATTGGAGTAAGTTTCCTTTGGGAACGGACACTTGGGAGTTGTGATGGGGACGGGGCTGCTGGATGAGGCCGTGGCGGTGGGACCACCCAGCATGGGTGCTGAGCACTTGCTGCCCGCTCCCTTTCCGGGAAACCCACCTGCACTCATTGCCTTCACCCAGGGCCTGCCCAGAGTGCCGGGTCACCTCCAGTTACTACATCCCCCACAAATACTGGGTCTCGGACGTGGGTGAGAAGGAGAAGCTCATCGAAACCTTCAAGGCGCGGACAGGGTGAGTGTGTGGCACCACGGGCTGCGGGATCTGTCCTGCTTCGGCAGCTGCACTCACAACTGTGCTTTGAATCCCACAGGAAAATCAGGTGCAAATTCTTTGTCCGCAACCGTGGCCGCTGTCCGTTCAAGTCAGACTGCATCTACCTGCACGAGCTGCCCGCTGCCTGGCTGCCGCAGAGCAGAAAGCCGCGGCCG